ATTTCTCCAATTTTGTGGTACTGTATTAACTGTGAATATAGTAAAGAAGAATATCAACAAGAAGCGTTCTGGTGATAGAATTCCCGGTGATGATCGTAAAAGAAAGGATATAACACTTGAAGAGAAGCTCGATTTTATCAACCTCAAAATCACCCTTCTCCCCCATCAAGTAAAGTGTTACATTTACTGTATGATTTCATTATTAGATATGAATGTAACATTTATTTAGACTGTGTTAGGCTAACTACTAAATTTTTTCGATTTCGAGTAATCTGCACCTTACCCTATTTTCTCCATAAGCCCTGTTATTTCTATTACGCGATTTTCTATAACACGATATTTTACAAGAACACAATTATCGCGTTATAGCAGAACTACCTGTATACATGTACAGTAGTGTCTTAAGTGAATAATAACATTTAAAGTTGGTTCTGTAAGTGATTACAATACAGTACAGAATTGTACTGTATATAGTGTAGTGCAGTGAGTCCCCCATCACCGCTGACACCACAAACTTGAATTATCCTCATCCTTCACCTGAAGTGCCGGTAAGTGTTAGTTTTTGTTCAAGTTTTCTGATTATGGTGTAGGTTATTTTGGCCAAAAAGTTGGGTATTCCAAGTTAATTTGTGGATGAAATTAAATTTACCATTCAGAAAGTTGCTAGTTATGTCCAAATGAGGCAAGAGGGGGGAGTAAAGAGCAGTGATCAGGTTGATTTGATGCATTTTTCCATGAAGTGAATACCTTTTTTATGGACAAGAGTACTGCCCTAAATTTGTGGTGCTACTTAAAACATACAAACAGCTCAGTACTGTACAGTGAAAAGTGAAAGCTGCTGTAATTTCTTTTTTCTCCACTCATTAGTGACAGTTTGTGTTGACCACTGTTTCCATATATAGGTTAGGGCATCCAACCCATCCATTTTTGTCAATGATTATGATGGCATCCTTGGAGGTGAGCTTCGTTTATTTACATTTTGTGGAAGTGAACTTGTACAGGCATCTCCTGGGTTACAGAATTTCTGGTTATGGAATTACTCCCTTATGGAATTTACAAATTTAGACCTTAATTTGGGGTTACAGAAAAAATTCTTCCTTCCTGAATTTTGAAAAGTTTTCAAAATAAAAAAAATTGCAATTTGTAATAATTTTGTTTACAAAAATAATAAAAAATATTAAGCGTGAATGCATCTGTGGTGGTAACAAGGCAGTTGGAAGGCTGTTCATCTCCCCCAGTTTCCAGTGTTCACTACAATGGAGCTGCTCAGTCAGAATTCTTTCCCCAGCTTGTGTTCAGTTATTCGTCTGTGTTTCAGACTTTATTCACCCTTATGGAATTTTGGTTAATTTATAAATATTTTCAATAGAAAAAATCATGATGAAAAAAAATTTCACAGAAATTATAACATTTATTTTGTGTGGATTCTGAGGCTCACCTCCCCAGTTTGTGCTCAGTTATGTGTCTGTGTTACTTTTACCCTTATTCAAGATAAGTGCAAAAAGACCACCAAGTTTAAGTGAAAGCAATGGTGATAGAAGGTTCCATTAAGGACTTACATTGAACATTAAATTGATATTTTAAGGAGGTAAGTCCCAGTAACTCTGATCTCATGACCTCCTGCAGCACTCGACATTGTTTCTGGTAAGTAAAATTCGAGTGTTTTGTTCATTTATGATTGTTACGCCATGAATACTCATTCTATGTGGTTAAAACCGTCTAATTTCATACATATACTGTATGTGCTTGTGTCACATTTTTGGGCCCCCAAAAATTCCTTCAGAATGCATCTCAACTTTTAAAGTGGAAGTACAGTACTGTATATGGGAAAAATTTTTGCATTACGGAAAGATTTTCAGGAATGGAACCCTTCCGTAGACCGGGGGATGCCTGTACAGTACTTACTGTACGGTATATTGTTGGGTGGAGGGAAAGTGTTTATATGAATATTTATGTATGTTTGGAAAAAGACCTCTAACTCTGTAAGCTTTTTATGTTTATGTGTCTTAGTAATCATTCTAGTAGTCTTAATAACCTGGTGTGACATTTTTATCTAGACACAATTGCCTTAATAATTTTTATTATATTGCTTCTGAGTTCATATAGTAGACTGAATAGATGTACAGTACAGTATACTATAGAATAAGAAAATATTAGACTAGAAGTATACTGTACAATACAGTGAATGAAAGGTTAAGATGAACATGTGTACTGGGGGTTATAGAAATAATTTGGGAACTAATTACCAGTGCTTGAAATTCAGAGAAGTCCACTTTACAGACACCACATTGAAATGTTTACTGTATCTCACTGCTGGTCAGTATGAGTTTTGCAGTCATTAAGAAATCTTTGTTGCTTAACTTCTTGGATAATATTAACTTCATAAAATTAGTCCCCCCCCCCCTCCACTTTATACAACTTATAGTAAAATTTTTTTATTTTTCATTACAGTATAGTCTGCATTTATGCGGATTTGGTTTACGCGTTTGGTCATTTACGCGGCACCTTGCCAGAACGAAAATTTTAAGTTACGCGGTTCATTCCATCATTTATGCAGGAAGCGGCGCCTGGAGGGTGCGCATTAGGTCGCTCTTACGTTATCGTTGACGTCATATGATGTATCGGACTGTGATTGGGCTACACATCCTTACCTCCCTCCGCCGCTAGCTGTGATTGGTCTAATGTAACATGACGTGCCCTGCCACAAGAGGGAAGAAGTTGCTGACCTAGCCGGGCCAGTCTCTTTGTTCTCAGTTCTCCGCATATATACTGTTCTCTCTTGTGCCCGCTATTCCCCTCACAATGGCTTCCGCTGGACCCCCACCACCCCCGAGAAACCTTGAACTACCTGGACCAAGCCATGGTTATGTGAAGGAAGTCATTGAGTTGGGGGAGAAAATCAAGCTCATCCTTGACAGGCACAATCAAGCATCGGTAAGAAGTGTCTAATAACCTTCTGTCGAAAATTATGGAGCCGTATGTCCAGATGTATCACGACAACATCAATGCTAGTCGTCAATGTAGTATTACAGACTTTTCCCGCAACCCAGATCAACCACAGCCAGCCCAAGTCAGTGATAGTGACAGTGAGGATATGGACATTGAGGGGTTTGTCAGGGAGGCCCTGCAAACCTCTGTGAATAATGATAGTGATTTACCGGAGGGCCACTAATCTGCCCTCTGCCTCGGAACCAGCCGCCATCCACTTGTGCCGACCCATCTCTTCTGCTAACGTAAGTGTTAAACACCTTTAGATTTGTACAGTAGTGTAGTTTTTTATTTAGATATTATGTGTGTGTCAATACCATCATAAAATTATGATGTTATTTTTACTACAAGGTACGTGTTGTGTCGGAAAAAGTGGAGTTTGGGAGTCGGCCCAGTCTCTATTTCAATTAATCCCATATGTTCTGTTATTTCGTTTACGCGTTTCTTGTTTTACGCGGACCTCCACGGGTTCAATTGACCGCGTAAATGCAGAATATACTGTAATTGTTTTTACTAAAAAAAACTGTAGGTTTTTCTGTACTTTAGTTCATTGTATTTTTATTTCTCATTTGTGATGAAAATTTTAAGGTTGGAGATACTTCTCCAAAAGAAAGGTTATCTTCAAGAATTTGTGTATAAAATACCAGTACAGTATTGGTATTATGTGGTATAATTGTAAAGGACTTACGGATTAGGTGTATAGGTACAGCATTTTACTTTACGAGTACTGTATTGCTATTACTGTACTGTACTAGCAGTTGGAATTGGATATATTCTTATTATTAATTCAAATTAAAGATCTTTTGGACAAGATATATTTCACTCTTGATATGAAATTTTGTAGAATGTAATGGTGGGTGTTGGATCTATATTTCACTGTTTCTCTACAAGAAGACTTGTGAGTATATCACTTATTTACCTGCCAAGTATGGTACCTTTTGGAGTGTGATGTTGTTGGCCTCGCTTGTGATAATGTCCGAGTACCTAACTAGCTAAGATGGTGCTTGGATGTTTATATATAAGGCCAATTTCCACCCTGTAAAAAAAGGGTTGGTAATAGGAAGGGCATCCAGCTGTTAAACCGACTTCAAATTTGCCTGCTGGCACCATACCATAAGGTAATCACAGCTGAAACATGCAAGTGTGAAAAAATAGCCATGAAACAAAGATGATGTTTGGAAGTTTTCTTTGTACAGGTTGAAGTGTTTATCCAGCCACCAGAGGGACTCAAAGACAATTATGTTTGAGGGACTTGAACAATGAGGGTCAGTTACAGCACGTGCAAATGCCTCTGATGTGTAATCAATGATATGTGTATTACCCCACTGACCTTTATATTTAAAGACAAAGTTATTCCAATTTTGCATTAGAAATTTATTGTAATAGTGTCTCTACATCAGTTGTGGTAATGTGTCACAACTCAGATATTGTTAATGTTTTCCAAATGAAGACTTCTAATACCCACGATTTTGCGCGTAAACTTTGCTGTTAGAACCAAAATTATGAGAATTTAGATTTTGTACAAATTATCAATATTACCCGGTATTCAGGTTTTCAACAAGCTGATGAAGGACCTGGGATCATGGAGTTGTATATTTGTGAATTGATATCCTTATGACTTGTGGAAATTTTGTATTTGTTTTTCATCCTTATTACTCATTTCATGTAATTTTAAGTCTGATTTTTGGCTAGTGTCTGTGTTTCTGGGTGTACAGTACAGCAGTTAAAAATTTTTTTTGCTAATTTCTTTATGAGTTATGTCCCCCTAAAACTGAATTATAATTTCTTTGAATTTAATCCATAAATAAATTTTTTTTTTTTAAGTAAGTACTGTACTGTACTTCATAATGTGAACCACAGTAGTTCATATTTAATCCATTGATGGTGCTACCTTTTCTAAGGTAGTTCTTGTTGTAATCCAGAGGACAATGTTTACTGTTAAATGTGTTTTCTACACATGTAAAAAAATTTATATTTACAGCACTAGTGAAGTGGGAATACTGTTACAATCAAAGGATGCAACTATTTATTAAACACACATTTAAAATTGAGTTAGTTCTTGAGTTGTTTTGTGCAGCAATATTTGAAAGACAAGAATGTAGTTTACAGTTTCATTGGAATTTTCAATACAAAAAATTCATATGCAATGAAACATTTCAAAGATTCTCTAAATTCTCAGCTAAGTTATTATAGAAGATCTCTTTGTCATCATCATCACTGGGAAGTCTAACTGTCTGTCATTCTGTAAAAAATGCAAGTCAGGAAATGGCTAATACTGTACACAAATCAAATAATTGTAAAGAATGTTGGTAGATGTTTAAAATGAATACAAGAGAAAATTTTTACTCTTAATTTTTTTTTTTTTCAATCTTGGTGAAAAGTGTGTTTGAGCATGGAGTGTTTATAGTATATTGATACAGGAAAGTTCTGCTTAACAAGCGACCAATTACTGAGAATTTGGTTTGAGGACCTCAGTGTTTAGGATATGAAAATTCCATTAACAAACTTATATGTGCCATAGGTTCCTCTTTACATAACACTCTGTGGCTTGCTTGTCCCTTCCTCATTCCACTCCAAGCTCTTACTTGTGGTCTTTCCCTATGGTTGGTAGATATTTCACATGTGATCTCTTGCACACACCAGGAGCCTGGTTAGAGAGGTCAAGGGTCTCAGGTGGGTTGGTACAATACAGACTCCTTGCACATGTCCCACCAAGGTTCCAGATGCCTCCACACACTTCATTGGGTCCCTGAAACGTCAAATGAACAGTGGTGTATTGAGGTTAAACGAGGCCTAAGATGGAGAATTAGGAGTTAAATGTAGTGGTGGGACTGGAGAATGAAAAGAGAATATGTACACAATAAGGTGGTGGAGGAGGATTGTAATTTTAGAGCTGATGGTTGGTCTTCTATGACTCCTTTAACATTTTGGGTCATTGCAGATTGTCAGTTATACACCCAGGTATCTGCATGGACCACTCTGAATCTGCTTGCCTGAACTAAGTTTTCACAACCACAATACACGACTGACCCTCCCCCCCCCCTCCATCCCTTAATGCGGGTTTGTTCAATGTAGATTTACTCAAACACTGATTTTTATTACTACCCAGTATCCTTTTACACGGGGCTAAGATTTGCTTGAATGTGGGTTGAGCCAGGTTAACATGAGAAAATTTGGCCAAATGCAATCAGGTAGAAAACGTTTTGTGTATGCCAGCAGTCGAATCCATTGCAGTCCGCTGGTAGTATCCCTAGCAGGCCACCGGTTGAGTTCATTGCATTCCATTGGTAGCATTCCCACAACGTGTGGCTCAGAGCTTAGCTATTCATTTGGATTAACTTCAGTTTTATCTCCTGCTTTCTTCACCATGACCACCTAAATGTTCTTTAAGTGAGCCTCTGCCTAGGGATATTCCAGCAGAGAAGAATAGGACCACATTTACCCTAGAGAGTAAATTAGACACTCTTCAACGAATAGAGCAAGGCCAGTTTGCTGCCCATGTTGGAGTGGTTTTTCCATGGATGAGTCATTCATGAGGAATGTAGAGAAGATTAGAGCCTGAATTTCGAGTAGATTCTGTAAACATAATTATTTTCATATATATTTTTTTATTCAGTTGCATGCACACACAATCTTACATACAGTATATATATATATATATATATATATATATATATATATATATATATATATATATATATATATATATATATATATATATATATATATATATATATATATATATATATATATAAACTGAATAAAAAAATATATATATATATATATATATATATATATATATATATATATATATATATATATATATATATATATATATATATATATATATATATATATACTGTATGTAAGATTGTGTGTGCATGCAACTGAATAAAAAAATATATATGAAAAAAATTATGTTTACAGAATCTACTCGAAATTCAGGCTCTAATCTTCTCTACATTCCTCATGAATGACTCATCCATGGAAAAACCACTCCAACATGGGAGAGTTGCCAAGGATAGAGAGGGGGAGAGTCTCCCAGATGGGCCGGGTTGCTCTGGTGTTAAACTTTAGGGAACTAATTTGATGGAAACACTATTGCTGCTGCCTCCATGTGTTTGGTATATACAGTAGTGTGTAGTATCAACTCTGTCCCTAATGGGCCTTCACCCGTACAGGAACCAATTTTACTCTACCCTAAAATTGGCAATTTAATTTTCCATGGAAGGCAGCTTTTCTGGTGGGCCTTGAAGCTCCACTGCTACATCCAAGCAGTGCCCAGTCAGGGGTGTCTAATGATTAGTGTAAACATGAAAAATATACTGTACAACTAATTACTGTATCATGTTACCTCCAGTAGATGAGTATTTAAAGAATATAAAGGTAACCCATGCTTACCTTATAACAACTGGGACAGCAGTTGCAGATTCCCAGTTCTGTGCCATACTTACACTCCACCTTGGGGCAAGTTCTTTGGCTACAATCGGGACATGACAGGCCAGCGCTCCTGGGAACAGAAGAGATTTTAGTGTACAGTACATTATTATTATTTTTTTTTTTCGGGGATTAGCCCACCCAGGTACGGGTCACTGACTCACATCAGGGCCGGGGAGGAAGATATAATGATAATAAAAGTTAATAAAAATTTAATAAATAAAATAAAAGTACAGTAGTACCCCGCTTAACGCGGTCAATTGAACCCACAGGGTACCGCGTTAAGTGAAAACCGCGTTAAGTGAACAACAGAACATATGGGATTAATTCCAATAGAGACTGGCCCGACCCCCAAACTCCACTTTTTGACGACACACAACTATGTTGTAGTAAAAATTTTATCTTAACTTTATGATGGTATGCACACACAATTAATAATTAAGAGAAATATCAATAATATTAGGTTTTTTAACACTTGCATTAGTAGAAAAGATGGCTGGGCACACGGGGATGGGGGGTTGGTTCCGAGGCAGAGGGCAGATTATTGGCCCTCACCTGTATCACTTGTATCAATTGTATCACTATCCACCACAGAGGCTTGCAGGGCCTCTTTGTCAAACCCCTCAAAGGCCATATAAGTCCATATCCTCACTATAATTATCACTATCACTGACTTGGGCCGGCTGTGGTGGGTGGCGGGTGAAGAACTCGGTAATGTTTTGATGACTGGGCGACCTTGTGAGCATCGTGCCCGCGCCGCTTCCCGCGTATATGATGAAAAATTCCGCGTTAAGTGAAAGTTCAGCTCTGGCGAGGCACCGCGTATATAATAAAACGCGTTAAGTGAAACCGCGTTAGGCGGGGTAATACTGTAATAATAAAATTAATAACCATAAATATAATACAAAAATAAAAAATAAATCAAGTAAGAAACAACATATATTATGTCTGTTGTGTTGTTGACAGTAAAAGAAACAATTGAGACCCTGCAATTGTGTGTAAATGAAGCAGAAAGTCAGATCAGCAACCTGGGACTTGGCCACAATTTTTGTAGTGCCAAATGGCAGCAGGGTTTACCATTAGACAACACGTTATGCTTCAAATATTTTCCCAGGCGGTAGTACATTACTATAATGGCAGCTGAGGTGAAGGAATGACAGTGAATGATGGGAGAGTCTGGTGTGTGTGCTCTTGATTCTGACCATCGTGCATTATAGTAGGAAAAGGTAAGTAGAGTACAATACGTATTGTGAGAAGAAAAAATAATAATATGGTGTGTGTGTGTGTATATTGCCAAGTAGAGATAATGTGAGTCAAATGATCACTCAAATAACCTGTAGTAATTCACTAAAATGGGATAAGCAAATTGTCTGAAAGAGTTAATGAGAACACTACAGCTTAAGGCCTCCTTCCAGTGTACTATATTGGGAAAGACCTTGGATTGTGCCCTAAAGACTATGCATCTGCTGATGAAAATAGATTTGATGGAGTCTTATGGCATAGCTTCTTGTAGATGCCACAGTGCTTATACTTGTATCATAGCTATGCCAAACTTGATTTCAGTGAGTTTATTTCATAATCCAATCTAAATCATATATTTCTCAGTAAACACTCCAACCCCTGCTGACTGAACAACAAATCCCCATTTAGTAAATACAGACAGGGTCTGCCAAAAATCATAACTGTATTTCAAACAGCAATGTGGGAAATAAAAAGTAATGTATGTATGTTGTGCTGAATATATAAGATGGAAATGAAAGAACACTTTTGGCAAATGAGGGGTTTTGTGACTGACTGTCAAGAATGGATGACGATCCCAACAAGGCCAGAAAACATTAATGTAAAAAAAAAGTATATATAATTATGTATTGTTTTGTTTGTTGTTCATTGATCATATTTATTATAAGATACAATAAAACAAACAAAACAATCAGGATGATGAAGAGGAATCTACTTGCTACTTCTTCAAATTCCAATATTATTCAAGCACTGGAGTGCGGGGCCCTTTGCATTTAAAACTATGGTTGTCCACACAATGACCCCTGTCAGTGGAAGAGGGTGATAAAACTGTGGCCGTTAGACTCGTGCACCTTTTGAACCAAATTAGTCTCATCCATTCTCTCCACTTGTCCAAACCATCTCAGCCTGCCTCCACACAGGAGGGATAAGTAAAGTTTGGTCAGCATTAGGGTCATGGTGTTTAATCAGCAGGCAAATTACTGTAAGCTGGGGTAGCTAATGTTTATATGATCTTCTTAATGTTATACCTAGTCAAGGAAAGTATTGGGAGGACTTACATGTGAACGAGGGCGAGCATTGCCAACAGGACCACACCTATTCCATGCATCACTGCTTCTTATCCTGATCCTCACACACCTGTGTGGGGAAGCAAGTACCCTGTAGTTGTTTTTAGTGGCATAATATATAATGCTGCAAACAAAAACATCAAGGATTTTAAAAAATACACCACTTACAATATGGTAGCAGAAGATGTGTAACAGGATGAGGTATGTTAGTAATGTGATTAGCTTGGGTACAGAAGACATGACTGGCTGGGGTATGTTAGAAGATATAATGTGATCAGTTAAGGTAAACAAAGAGCCTAAGGAATGCCACAACAACCTTGAAGCGATGTCAACATAAGAGTCTAATCTTGATGTAGTCAACAGGCTGAATACAGATCGTATCAGTTGAATTTTTAAATGATGCCTCGCATTCTTCAGCATTAGTAATATGGTTGTATTTAAACACTTGGTCTATGAAGCCTCTTACTCTTGGTCGAGAGGAAACGCAACCACCACAGGAAATTACAACACACACACAATCACCGTAGCAAGTAACACCTGCTTATCTGGCCTCGGCTATATCTGCACTCACACCAGTTGTAACTGCCCTCTTACTGACTGTATCTGGTCTCTTAACAACTGTATCTGGCCTCACACCTACTGTATCTGGTCTCAACAGTTGTATCTGGCCTCAACAGTTGTATCTGGCCTCAACAGTTGTATCTAGTCTCAACAGTTGTATCTTGCCTCAACAGTTGTATCTGGCCTCAACAGTTGTATCTGGTCTCACAACAGTTGTATCTGGCCTCAACAGTTATATCTAGTCTCACAACAATTGTATCTGGCCTCAACAATTATATATGGTCTCACCAATATATCTGACCTCACACATGCAGTATCTGACCTTACGCATGCTCTATCTGGTCTCACACCAATATACTGTATCTGACTTCACACCTGCAGTATCTGACCCCACACCTGCTGAATCTGACCTCACACCTGCTGTATCTGACCTCACCTGCTGTATCGGGCTTCACACCTGTATCGACCTTATACCTGCTGTATCTGGCTTCACACCTGTATCGACCTTACACCTGCTGTATCTTACCTCACACCTCTTGTATCTTACCTCACACTTGCTGTACCTGACCTCACACCTGCTGTATCTGACCACACATCTGCTGCAACTGAACTCACACCTGCTGTATCTGGCCTCACACCAGCTGTAGCTGACCTCACACCATAAGAACATAAGAATGGAGGAAACTGCAGCGGGCCTATTGGCCCATACTGGGCAGTCCCATTTACACCCAGCCTCTATTGCTCATATAAGCATCCAACCTATGCTTGAAGCTATCCAGCGTATTCGAGTTAATGATGATGTTTGGTAACTTGTTTTATTCATCCACTACCCTGTTTCCAAACCAGTGTTTACCTATTTCGCACCTAAATCTAAATTTGTCTAATTTAAAAACCATTGTTACGAGTTCGCTCCTGGTTGGATAGTTTGAGTACCTTTGTAATGTCCCTTTTGTTTAGCCCTGACTTCCATTTATACACCTCTATCATGTCGCCCCTCGCTCTATGTCTCTCGAGGGAGTGCAAATTAAGATGCTTTAACCTGTCTCTGTACTCAAGGTTCCTAATGCCCGGGATTAGTCTTGTCATTCTCCTCTGAATTCTTTCCAAGGATTCTGTATCCATTCTGTAATACGGTGACCAGAACTGAACTGCATAATCCAGGTGAGGTCTTGTAACTAACACTCCTTTGTATGAACCCAAGTACTTTATTAGCCTTGTTACGAGCAAAAACACATTGTTTACTTGGCTTAAGATTCCTACTTATCATTACTCCTAAATCTCTCTTGCAGTCGGATTTCTCAATGGCATCGTTGTTCATCTGGTAACTGGTTTCCCTGTTTACATCTCCTCTGATCACTTTACATTTGTCCACATTGAATTTCATCTGCCATTTTTCAGACCATTCGAAAATTTTTTTTAGATCTTCCTGTAGTTTTCAGAAGTCCTCGTCAGATTCAATTACACGTCCTATTTTAGTGTCATCAGCAAATTTACTTATGTTGCTGTCTATGCCGATATCAATGTCATTTATGTATATAATAAATAATAATGGTCCAAGTACTGAGCTTGGGAAACTCCACTAGTGACGTTGCTCCAATGGGATTTAGTACCGTTAATGCTCACTCGCTGTTTCCTGTCCTGTAACCACGCCCTATTCCATTTTAGAATATTACCTTTAATGCCATGTGCTTCTACCTTTCTTATTAGTCTTTCGTGGGGGACTCTGTCGAAGGCTTTGCTAAAGTCGAGATGTACCACATCATAATTGTGCCCCTCATCCAGTGATTCGAAAACTGATGAAAAGAATGTTAATAGATTAGTTAGACATGAATGCCCGCTTGTGAAGCCATGCTGGGAATCATTGATCAGTTTGTGCTTCTCTAGGTGGTTTCGAATAGAGTTTGAAATGATTGCTTCCAGTAATTTGCCTACAATTGATGTTAGACTGATTGGACGGTAGTTAGAGGATAGTGATCTATCCCCTTTCTTGAAAATCGGTATTACATTCGCTATCCTCCAGAATTCTGGTACTACACCTGTTTTTAAGGACATGTTAAACAACTTTGCTAAGGGCATACTAAGCTCTTCCTTACATTCCTTTAATACTCTGGCAAATATCTCATCGGGACCAAGTGACTTATTAGGCTTTAGTTTGTCTATTTGCTTACTAACAACATTACTAGTCACTACTATCTCGCTTAATTTGTTTTCTTCACTATCTCTGAATAGAGTCGGTGCCTTGGGTATCCTTAGGTAGTAGGTATTAGGCAGCTACCAAACAGGGAGGTACTACCGCCTTGGGAAGATATTGGAAGCATAATGTATTGTCTAATGGTAGACCCTGCTGCCATATGGCATCACGAAAATTGTGACCAAGTCCCAGGTTGCTGATCTGACTTTTTGCCTCATTTACACACAATTGCAGGGTCTCAATTGTTTCTCTTAATAGTGACAACACAACATACATCTATTGTCTTTCACTTTTGATTTTTTTTCATTTTGTATTTCTTTATTATTATTATTATTATTATTATTATTATTATTATTATTATTATTATTATTATTATTATTATTATTATTACATTTTCGCCCCCTAGGCCCCAATGTGGGTCAGTGACCTGTGCCTGGGTGGGCTAATTCCCATAAAAAAAAAAAAAATTTTTAAATTTTTGGTGGTGAAAACTGTTGAAAAATATTTATTCAGATTATTGCTCATTTCTCCTTCGTTATCAGTTAGCTACTGTCATCTACTGTATTCCAGTTGGCTTCTTGGGTATCTACGGCTTCTGTATTAGCTAATCTTTTCTCGTGCTTTTAGTTTTGATACTTTGATAGAATCACTTGTCGTTTTATGCTTTGCCTCCCTTGCTATCCTCAGCTCATTATTCTCTGCTTTCCTTGTCTCCAGTCTTAACTGGCTAATACCTTACTGTCATCCCAGAGGTAAATTTTGCGTTTATACTCCTACCTATAGCCTTCCTTTTGACCAATAATGTTCTTTAAATAATTATTTATCCATTTAGGGTCATTGTTGTTTGATCTGTGAGTTTTTTGTATGGTATGTTCTGCCTTTGTGCATTAAGTAACTCATTATTTAAATTGTCGTGGAACTTCGGCAACCTCGAACCTCGTTATCAGAATTCAGTTTCAACCGTCAGGTCCGTGTAGTTCACCCCCAAGCGTGATGCCCCTTCTCTCAACTTTGCCTCTTGAAACTATCAAAGTTTGCCCTTCAAAATCTGGGACTTTTGTGGAATTTTTCGCTACGGCTGCCCTGAAAATCTGCTGTAATCTAATTTCTTTGTGTTATGTTTTAAGTTAGTTTCCCTACCTCGACATTACTAATGAGGTTTCTCTGTTTGACAGAACTAAATACAGTATATTATTATCCGGGTGGATTCGGTTATATGTTGACTTAGAAACAGTCCTGGATCATTTCCAAGAAAATCACTCTGATTCTGAGTTACCCGTGGAGTCAGTCCAATCCATTTGGCCCAGGTTTAAGTCATCTACTATACAGACTTTGTTGTATGTGGAAGCCCTGCGCATTTAAATGTTGAATAAGTGGCTGATTAATTTATCAAGATTGGGAGGTCTATATATTACTCTTGTGATTAATTTTTTCCCTCGTCGATTAATTCTGTCAAATTGTTTCTGTATTCACGGCTCAGTTTTTGCTTCCATATTTGTTTTCACCGCTTCGAATTATCTAACATGAATTGCTACTCACCTCCTTTCTAATCTGCCTATCGGTATGGAATAATTTGTAACCTGCAATTTGGTATTCGACGAGTAACTCACGTAGTCTAGGTTGATCCATGTTTCAGTGAATGCTATTATATCCCGATTTCTTTGGCGGTACATGCAAAGGCCCTAATATCATCATTTTGTTTCTCTTACTTCTACTGTTCATGTGTGGGCATTTAAGTTAATCCATTGTTCTGGAGTCCTCCTTTTGCGTTTGGTTTTAACTCACTGTCTCTCTTTAGTTTTGTCATCATTCTAACACTATTTCCTGTAACCTTTCACTTTGTTTACCTGCTCCCGCGTCTCTCCACCTCTGTGCTCACATGTTTCCCCTAACGGACAAGGCAGCATCATTGGACTTGCCCTTTCGAAAATCAACCAGGAGTAGCCACTCCATCCTGAACAGATGCACCCCATCCCTAGCATAAAAGGTCCTTCTGCCAGCAAAGTTGTCCCAGTTGTCAATAGATAGGACGTGTTTGACTTGCAATATCTGTCAAGACTGACCGTGACACTAACGCCCTTGACAACCAATCATTGCCAGCTCTCCTTCTAGGCAGGACACCACATATGATGAGGATTCACTCTATAGACTAACACGTTCTATAGCTGTCTTGAACTTATCAAGAAGCTCTTCAATCCTACACCGGCCAATATCATTGCCTCCTGCACTGAGAGCAGGTTATGGGACTTTGTTCTTATTACCAGACAAGATATTGTCCATCCTGTCCTTCTCATCCCCCACCCCGGCTCTGGCAAATACACCTTCATCCATTTTTATCTTTACATAGCTCTGTCCATGTGCCGTGCTTGAGAGATTAGCCAACAATCAAGATTTTCTTGCCTTCCTTATCAACTGTCCCTGACTATACTAACGTCAATTCATCTATCAAAGGGACTGAAGAAGTTGAGTACATAGCTGTTGTGTTACGTATCCTTGGTGTTTTTCACCACAGTTTAGGTGTCCCTCTACTCACATCCTTCCATTCGCCTGAGTTTTCGTCATTCACCGGCTTTCCTTGTCTCATTTCTTCCTTCATCCTCGCTATCTCTTCTTTTAATTTCAAGATATGCTTTGTAGCCTCTCCAACTCCAGTCTCAGAAGGGTACAGCCCACTGTTCTAGAATCCCCACTAGCCGTACTGACAGTTTATCCCCGGGAGCTAAGCCGCTGTGACCTTTCCTCTAGCGAGGTCAGAAGACAACACACCTGCTGCAACTGACCACACACCTGCTGTATCTGGCCACACACCTGCTGCAACTGACCACACACCTGCTGTATCTGACCTCACACCAGCTGTACCTGACCTCTCACCACTTTATCTGTCCTTACACCTGTTGTATCTGACCTCACACCTGCTGTATCTGGCCTCACACCAGCTGTAGCTGACCTCACACCAATATACCTGACCATAACTGCTCTACCTGACCTCACACTTGCTGTAACTGACTTCATACTGCTGTATCTGACCTACCTGCTGTATCTTGCTTCACACCTGCTGTAGCTGACCACACACTTGCTGTATCTGACCACACACCTGCAGTAGCTGGCATCACACATACTGTATATGACTTCACATCAATATACCTGCTGTATCTGACCTTATACTTGCTGTACCTGACCTCATACCTGCTGTATCTGACCTTACACCTGCTGTATCTGACCTCACCAATATATCTGACCTCATACCAGCTGTATCTGGCCTCACACCTGCTGTAACTGACTTCACACCTGCTGTATCTGGCTTCATACCTGCTGATCTGACCTCATAACTGCTGTGTCTGGCCTCACCTGCTGTGTCTGGCATCGCACCTGCTGTATCTGACCTCACCTGCTGTGCCTGACCACACACCTGCTGCAACTGACCTCACACCTGCTGTATCTGACCTCACACCTGCTGTATCTGACCTCACCTGCTGTATCTGGCTTCACACCTGTTGTACCTGACCTCCCCAATATATCAGACCTCACACCTGTTTACCTGACCTCACACCTGCTGCATCTGACCTCACCTGCTGTATCTGACCTCACACCTGCTGTATCGCCACACCTGTGTATCGACTCCCCACCTGTCCTGCTGTATCGACCTCCACCTGTACCTGACACACACCTGCTGCATCTGACCTCACACCTGCTGTATCTGACTCACACCTGCTGTATCTGACTCACCTGCTGTTCTGGCCTCACACCTGCTGTACCTGACCTCCTTATCGACCTCACCTGCTGTACTGACCCCACACCTGCTGCTTATCTCACCTGCTGTATCTCGACCTCACACCTGCTGTATCTGGCTTCACACCTGATGTATCTGACTCACACCTGCTGTATCTGACCTCACACCTGCTGGATCCGACCACACCTGCTGCATCTGACCTCACACCTGCTGTATCTGACCTCACACCTGCTGAATCTGCTTCATTCCTGCTGTATCTGACCACCTGATGTATCTGACCACACCTGCTGTATCTGACCTCACACCTGCTGTATCTGACCTCACACCTGCTGTATCTGACCTCACACCTGCTACTCTGACCTCACCCCTGTATCTGACCTCACACCCACTGAATCCGGCTTCATTCCTGCTGTATCTGACCTCACACTGCTGTATCTGACCACACCTGATGTATCTGACCTCACACCTGCTGTATCTGACCTCACACCTGCTGTATCTGACCACACCTGCTGTCTCTGACCTCACACCTGCTGTATCTGACCTCACCTGCTGTATCTGACCTCACACCTGCCAACTACTTCATTCTCTCCTGCTGTATCTGACCTCCCCAATATATTAGACCTCACACCTGTTGTATCTGACCACACCCTGCTGTATCTGACCTCACACCTGATGTATTTGTCCTCGCACCTGCTGTATCTCCTCGCACCTGCTGTACCAACCTCCCAATATATTAGACCCCACACCTGTTGTATCTGACCTCACACCTGCTGTATCTGACCTCACCTGCTGTATCTGACCTCACCTGCTGTATTTGACCTCACACCTCCTATGGCTGACCACACACCAATATATAGCTGACCTCACCCTGCTGTATCTGACCACATATCAATTCTTTTACCACACGCCTGCTGTGTCTGACCTCACACCTGCTGTATCTGGACTCACACCTGATGTATTTGTCCTCGCACCTGCTGTACTTGACCTCTCCAATATATTAGACCTCACACCTGTTGTATCTGACCTCACACTTGCTGTATCTGACCTCACCTGCCTGTATTTGACTACACCTCCTATGGCTGACCACACACACAATATATAGCTTGACCTCACACCTGCTGTATCTGACCACATATCAATTCTTTTACCACACGCCTGCTGTGTCTGACCACACCTGCTGTATCTGGACTCACACCTGCTGTATCTGACCATATCAATTCTTACCACACGTCTGCTGTGTCTGACTCACACCTGCTGTGTCTGGACTCACACCTGCTGTATCTGACCACACACCTGCTGTATCTGACCTCACACCAGCTGTATCTGGCTTCTACATCTGCTGTATCTGACCTAACCTGTTGTATATGGCTTCACACCTGCTGTAGCTGACCACACACCTGCTTAGCTGGCCACACACCTGCTGTAGCTGGCCACACACCTGTTGTACCTGACCACACCTGTTGTACCTGACCACACACCTGCTGTAGCTGGCCACACCTGCTGTATCTGACCACACCAGCTGTATCTGGCTTCACATCTGCTGTATCTGACCTAACCTGTTGTATATGGCTTCACACCTGCTGTAGCTGGCCACACACCTGCTGTAGCTGGCCACACACCTGCTGTAGCTGGCCACACACCTGTTGTACCTGACCACACACCTGCTGTATCTGACCACACACTTGTTGTATATTACCTCGCACCTGTTATGTCTTACCTCACACCCTGTTGTATATTACCTCGCACCTGTTATGTCTTACCTCACACTTGTTGTATATTACTCCGCACCTGTTATGTCTTACCTCACACTTGTTGTATATTACTCCGCACCTGTTATGTCTACCTCACACTTGTTGTATATTACCTCGCACCTGTTATGTCTTACCTCACACTTGTTGTATATTACCTCGCACCTGTTATGTCTTACCTCACACTTGTTGTATATTACCTCGCACCTGTTATGTCTTACCTCACACTTGTTGTATATTACCTCGCACCTGTTATGTCTTACCTCACCTGCTGTATCTGGGTGCACACTTGTTGTATATTACCTCGCACCTGTTATGTCTTACCTCACACTTGTTGTATATTACCTCGCACCTGTTATGTCTTACCTCACACTTGTTGTATATTACCTCGCACCTGTTATGTCTTACCTCACACTTGTTGTATATTACCTCGCACCTGTTATGTCTTACCTCACCTGCTGTATCTGACCACACACTTGTTGTATATTACCTCGCACCTGTTATGTCTTACCTCACCTGCTGTATCTGGCTGCACACTAGACTGATATTACCACATTAGGTGTAACCGACCCAGACGATGTACACAGGTGTACAGTTTATTATGTATACAGTTTAGATATACTGTACAAAGTTTATATATGGACAGTTTAACGAGCAAATATAACAAAGAAAACTGAACAACTCGCCCTACTCACTATCAGATGAAGCAGTTGCCCGCTTCCTGTGGCCTCGCCGTCAGACTCAACATTAAAGACACCTGACGCCCTGTCCAGCTTATATAACCTGTGTGGCCATGACGCGCCTCTTGCATCTTATCCTTTTCTTTCATTGCGCCATAAAACAAGTCCTCACCTCACCCCCCACACCTGCATTTATCAATGTTTGTTGTAACATAAATGCTTGCTTCTGATGCCCCTCCGTACCAGCATCTGTAGCAACATATTTTCGAAGGCTTTTTATGGGAAAAATCTGGGCCAAAGTGGTGTACGGTTATATATATATATATATATATATATATATATATATATATATATATATATATATATATATATATATATATATATATATATATATATATATATATATATATATATACACACACACACACCTGTATATGATTTACTGCATTCCATGTAGCAATTGTACTGGAAATTATGTATGACAGACTGGGAAAGCATTGCAACTCAGAATTAAACAGCACAATTACAATATTAAAACAGCATATGAAAGCAGTGCACTGTTCGTTCATATAAGGAGCAACAATCATCCCATAGATTGGGAAAACAGTTTATAAGTGTATAAATCATCATGTGTCCCAGAAAGACTTCTGGTTGGAGCAAGTTTGATTAGAAAATTGAATTCTATAAACCTTAGTGATGGTCAGTACTCTTTGGGTGTTGAACGCCGTAACAACGCAGACAACATACAAATGCGTTCACACATGCACATCACGCCTGGCTGGGTACACACAAGGTCAAGCAAGGCCTTGGCTACTCACAACACACACGGATATACGCTGCATAACAGCACACGGATATACGCTGCATAACAGCACACGGACATACCGACAAACACACGCCAAAATGTAAAGTACAATTGATCAAGGTGAGCTAATGTAGGCTAGTTAGGACAGGTCAGAATATGAAGTTTGAAGATAAATTAGGTTAGTCTGGGGTCTAGTTAGACTGTTAGAGGGAGTCAGAAGATAAGTTATCGGGGTTATATGTGAAACAAGCGGAAAAGAAAACCTGTTTGGAGGCCGGCAGGTAACTCCTTTGGGGCAACATAAGAAACCCCCCACCCAATAATTGTTTTGCAGTTCACTGAAGTTGTTGTTCTGGAAGTGTCTCCAGTTGATACACAATCACTTCTATTGAAAAGGGGACTAATTACTCTTCTTGTCAAAAGCTTAACCAAAACGTATCCTAAAATAAACCTAGATTACGCTCCCAATCTAACCTAATACAGTACAGCTCTAGCCCTAACCCTACGCCAACCTAACCTAACCTAACCCAACTTATAATCTAACCTTATGCTATCCTAACCTAAATTAACATAACCATCCAGGTAGCTTTAAGGTCTTTAATCGTCGGGTGAAATAAGCTTCGGTGGTTAATCTTCAGATCCCATAATTCTTTATGCAAATATAGATAATTATATTATAGGCATTTTAAGTCGAGTTTCGATGGCATGGTAAAGTGAGTGGCACACTTAAATTTATTTTTTCCTTGTACATTTCACTTGATGGTTATATATTCTCATGCTGCTTGGGGGGGGGGGGGATAGCTTAATGTGGATAAGATTAGCATTAGGGTGGTTAATCTTAAAGTAAAATAAGCTGGGGGTGATTCTTATCCAAATAGTAAAGCAAAGATAGGAAATACTGTACTCAAAAGGAGAGACGGGAAAATCAGACAGACGAACCGGACCTAAATTTTGCGAATCATCATAACATTGACTTGCGTGCCACTAACACCTCTGCTGTGGGTGGTGGGCAATGGGGAGGTAACGAATTCCAGGGACATTTTGAGGCCATTATTAAGGCATATTCTGAGGTTGAAGATGCAAAATTCCCAACTTCATAATTGCGATTATCAGTACAGCCTTGAGCGCGAAAGTACTGTGAATATGGTTTTACAATATAGATGTACTATATTATATTTTACATTATATTACTATGTGCTAGCGGGCTGCGTCTAAATATACAGTACAAAAGTTTGCTGAATGAAGCAAATCCGACTATTGATACAGTACCTGTACATTATATTTATTGGTACACATCCGAAAAATAGTTATTGAATTATTTTATTTGTTTAAAAACAAATGGTTGTTATTGTATCAACTATTTATTAGTATTATATGTTTTGGTGGGGCTTGATTTATCTGAACTACGTTACCGAGCAGCGATGAGTCCTCTTCCTACAATATAAGTCCTTCGGAAAACACATATCACAAGGGCGGATTTTCATCAGAAAATTCCAATACTTTTTCTTTAATGCAGTATTATACTCAGGCGGTTGTCTATAAAAAAAAGTAATTAATATTGACCTTAGAATATCAAGTGCACACAGCTTCAAAATGACCACTCCGTGTTCCTTCACCCACAACTTCTTGGACCCCCCCCCCCCTACAACTCTTCTCCCGTCTTCGCCCAGCCAATCAGCTGCTATTAAACCTACACGAGAAGGCACTAGAAGCACTTGTAGTGGACGTCTCCCCTACAACTGCGTAGCCACAGCCACCACCTGCTACCGCCTTCCCTAGCAACCAACCAAATGTTACCGTATCTTAGCAACGGAACCAGGAACCGGCGACTTTCTCGGGTTTTCCCAACATGACTCATAGCGGCTGCTGGGTATATAAGCTCTGTCTCTCCATTGAGATTCATTCTGACCATTCTTCTTGAACAAGCAACACCTCCTCCTCCGCCGCTGCCTGGCTGCCCTCGCTTCTCCTCGCCTGCCTGGCGGTCCTCGCTCCCGCCAGCGAGCATGGCGACCCACCAGCTGTCCTTCACTGAGCTTCCTCACCAACCAGCTTTCTCATTCTGCCCATCTTCCTGAACAAGCAACACCTCCTCCAGCAAGCTCCACGCTGTCAGTATTCATTCAACCAGGAGGCCAGCAACAAGCAACATCTTCTCTAACGAAGCTCCTGCACATCTACCTCCTTCAACACGCTACTCACCGAACGTCTCTACTGAGCAGCTCCTCACCACACGGCACCTCCAGCACCAGACTGTCTATCATATAACTTATATTATACAAGAAAACCACATTAGAGTGTCCTTCCATCCTGAGTGCTAGACAACATTAATATCTCGATACCCCTACACACTACTCAGTATATACAACGCCTGTCTTGCTGTAGGATACTTCCCGGACTCATTGAAAAAGGCCAAGATGTTTTTTTATACCAAAGGACGGGACGAACATCAAAGAACTATTAAATTACAGACCCATTTCTAACGGACAACGAAAAAAGAAACCGCCGACAACATGGATTCATGCCAGACAGACACCCACACAGCCATTGCCACTGTTACCGAAATCATTGCACAAGAAAAGGGAAAGGGAAATCAGGTAAAGATAATATTAAGAGACGTAGCTAAGGCCTTTGATAAAGTCTAGCACCTCGGTCTAGAGTACAAACTATTAAAACTAAGTCTCTCCCAAATTAGAAAGAATATTAAGTGACTACCTCGATAGCAAAACAGCCCAGATCCAAATAGGAAAACACATGGGTCCTACATTTCAACTGGAAATCGGAGTACCCCAAGGCGGGTGCCTATCGCCCTCACTTTACACAATATATACAGCAGACAGTCCACCACCAGCGGCATACAGCGAATATGTCATGTTCGCAGACGACATTGTAGTGTACCGTATGTGGCCAGTTGTCAATTCTCTTTGCTTGTCTATTATCTCTTTGTATGGGCTCACAAACGTACGTACATGTAGATATCTCACACTCAGGAATGAGGTAGAATAGAAACTCACAATGCGTTTTCTGTATATATATTGTTGTACAGTGCAGTACTAAGGAGTTACTAGGCGATGAGTAGCTTGCTCAGAGGTCCTGTTGGGCGAGGAGCTTTCTGAGGTAGCTGGTTGGTGAGGCACTGTTGAGAGGTCTTGCTGGTCCAGTCGATCAGAGGAGAATGATCTCCACGATGAAGATGATGATAATGGAGATAAAATGGCAATGGTTTGCCATGGGAAGGGAGAGAAGCGGTTAGGTAGAAGGAAAGTTATGAAACGGGAAGTAAAGTAGTAGAAAATAAGAGCAGGTGGGCTATCCACCTCACATAGACGATTTGATTGGCTGTGGTGAAGGCAGTGTGGGGTTCAAGATGTTTGGTTCACACTCAGGATGGAATGGAGAAAGGAAACTCACAATGTGCTCTCTATATACATGTTGTATTGGATGTACAATGCAGCTTGGTGCTGGGAAGGCAGCATGGTTACAAGCGTGATGTAGAGAGAGCTGGTTGGTGAGGACGCTCAGAGAAGGACAGCTTGTGGGTCGCCATGCTCGCCAGCGGGAGAGAGGACCGCCAGGCAGGCGGAGGAGCGAGGGCCGCCAGGCAGCGGCGAAGGAGGAGGTGTTGCTGGCTGCGGCTGTAGGTAGAGAGAGGGAGATCACCACGAGGTCAGGTCTTAAATAGCGGGGGTAGGCGTAGCTTAGCAGTTGACCCCCGCTCCGTGGTGTATGGCGGCGCTGGTTGACCTAGACCACGAGACATACACTGGGGAATTGGTGGGGTCGGCTAGGCACCGACAAACAGCGTTTGTAGGGGAGAATTCCACTACAGCAGCACTAAGAGGTCGCCCGAGCTCAAAGAGGACAGGGGGGGCTAAGCTAGCTTGCAAGGAGTTGTTTGTTATTGTGTTAGTTGGAGAGGTCTGCTAGGTCCTTGTGTAACTAGTAGAATATTCTCATCTTTTATTTTTAATATTATGGTCGAAAATAAGGTATGACTGGCGTCAAGAAGTTATTTATGCTGTGGTGTATAATGGATCTGGCTCTAGGTTGCTTGTTAGTGTTGGTCAAAAGGTGTAGATAAGGATGTGTTATTTGTTTACTGTTTAGTGTACAGTAGTTCTGGCTTTTGAGGGTTATAGAGAAGGCTTTTTGGCCACCAGTTGTGTGATCCCGTGGTGTCCTCTGTTTTTAGTTGATTATATATTTCGTCTTCCATGACTTCTAGTTTGTGTCATACTCCCTGTGCTTGTCTGTACTGTATGTTCTTATGTTTAATGGTAAAATGTTGTATTTTTCGTGAAGCTCTTTAAT